ATCTATAGGGATTTAGGGTTTAGGGTCTACTTGGAGGATCATGGGACTTAGTAACTAGGGCTATAAATAAGGTAACTATACTTACAACTCCAATTAGGGTACTTAGAACCTTACTTACTAAGTCCCATGATCCTCCAAGTATAACAGAGAGCAGGACATGGGAGTTTCCGAAAATTAGGGGACCCGAATGTAGTACCTTACATAGTAAGATCCTTATTATAAGGACCCCAGGATAAGGTACCCCCTTTTTTTAGGGAACTCTGCCACCAAGGTGCTCTTACGAGCTTCTCCGGCACCTTGTCCTTGGCTAACAAATGGGTAATTGTCAAAATTAAGGTCCCTGTTTGGGTACCCGAAATAATAGGTGCCGTATTATATTCAAGACCCAAAAAGGCACCATAATTTTGACAACCACCCAAACAACAGCACACCTGGATAGGTCATGGCTGACTATACTCGCCCCTTCCCCGAGCATAGAATTGCTCCTAGGATGAAAAATTGAAAGATCGAGGATCGGTTTAGGGTTTAAGGCATCTCTCCCAAAAGCCTATTCACAAGACCGAGACAATCCAAGCCACAGGGGAGAGCTTCCACGCAGCAAAGGGGTCCACCAGGAACGTGTGAATCGCCTGAGGCATCACACCAGCCTACTCCCTTCAAGCCGAAATCGAGAACCTCAAACTTGGAGAACAAGGTTCCTCCTGGCACACTCTGAACCCCGGGGAAATATATTTAAGACTATTTATTAAGAGGTGTGTCAGCTCAAGTTTTCAGTCACTCTAGTTCCGGCTGGAGCAGAATCCCCTCTGACTATCCACTTCTTCATGCCCGCTTCTGCTTCCAGCCTCCACGGTGAGCCGCAACGTGCACGCCTGGCTCTCGTCCCTGGCGCGCGCGGCTTCCAGGCAGCATAAAGCCTAAACCCTGAACTGAACACCTAAACGCTAAACCGTTGGCAGGTTCTAGACGACGCAGCACAGGCAAGCTCGAAACCTGTAGCTGTCATTACTATTGCTATTTCGAGTATTGCTACCATTAATTTATTACCAACATTACTGTCATTACTACTATTGCCCATATTACTCGTAATACCATCACTAATACTATTATTACCAACATTAGCTTTATTACTAGTATTACGCTTATTACCAACACTACTATTGCCATGCCGCACCTGGGCAGGGCTCGGTAGAAGGGCATGAGCATGGCGTTGTTCTCATCGGTGAAAGCATGGTGAAACCTCAGAGGCTCCGGCTCCACCCGAAGCCGAGGTTTGGGGCGCAGAATCTCCCTAGAACCTCAGCCCTAAACTCTACCTGTAGCCGAACAGACCTACCTCTTGGGATGCCTTACTACGATGTCTATATACAGTTCCTGAAAAAGGGTAGGTCTTTTCCGGCAACAGATAGCTCCCAAACCCCTTAAGCCTGAACCCTTAACCCCAAACCCTCAACTCTAGATCCCAAACCCTGAACCCTCAATCCTAAACTACTATTTGCTTAAGCACCAAAAAATAAAAATAATAATCCCTATATTACCCCCATAAGGAATATATTTTTTATTTGTTGGGGGTTCTTAAGCAAATAGTAGTAGATCCCAAACCCTGAACCCCTAAACCTTGAACCCCAGATCCTGAACCCCCCCAGGTAGGCTCCCGACACTCCCCGGAAGCGCACCAAGGGCAGTTTTGCAGGCCACAGCTCCGGGTCGAAGCGGATGTTGACCTTTACTATACTGAACTTAGAACCCTAGCAAAAAATATAATTTTAGCTGTTTCTTAGGGATTATAATAACCAAAAATTAAAAATTATTTCTAAGTACCCCTAAGTTTAAGGGTTCAGTTGCTGGTCGCTCCTAAGGGGTTCGGGTTCAAGGTTAAGGCTTGGGGGTCGAGGGCTACTTGGAGGGTCGGGGGACTTAGTAAGTGGGTGATAAGTAGACTTTTAAGTACCCTAAAACGGACCCTAATTGAGGTTATGGTACTTATAAGTCCCTAAAATAACCAGTTACTAAGTCCCCCGACCCTCCAAGTAAGGTTCAGGGGCTTAGTTTCGGCTTGCAAACAGTTCAAAGGGGTGCTCCTTGGGCCCACCGTTACCGGGCTTCCTTCGATGGGTTTCTGCCTCGGGCCATTCCTAGCCGGACCCTTCCAGGAAACCTGAAAGGACAGAACTCTCATGAAACCTCAGAAGGACCCTCACAGGAACCTGGTAGCCCCGTTATGAAACCCTTCTCAGGCCTTTCAAGGAACCTAGAACCCTTATAAACACCCTAACCAGACCCAAAATCAAAGGGAACCCTTAGAGGATCCCATACAGGAACCCTTAAAGGATTCCTTTTAAAGGATCCCTTAAAGGATCCCTTAGAGGAAGCCTATAGAGGAACCCGTACAGGATCCCTCAAAGGATCCTTTAAACTGGCACCGAGGCACCCTCCAAGGTACGCCGTAGGCCTCGTCCCCTTCCTCGCCCTCGATGCAGAGCTGCAAGTCCTGCTTGGCTGGGTTTCGGGTTTAGGGTTTAGAGTTCAGGGTTTAGGGTTTGGGGTTGAGGGTTCAGGGTTTAGGGTTTGGGGTTGAGGGTTCAGGGTTTAGGGTTTGGGGTTGAGGGTTCAGGGTTTAGGGTTGGGGGTTGAGGGTTTAGGGTTTAGGGTGGGTTGGCTACTTCGTCTCCTCGCAATACTAGTAGCCATAGTCATGTTGGTAATCATCCTACAAGTAGTAATACTGGCAATGTTGGTAATATCTCAACGATGCCTTTTTTGGGTTTCGGGTTGAGGCTTCATAGGATTTAGGACTTAGGGTGTAGCGAGTGGGGTTAAAGTCTCGGCTTGAGGGCTCAGGGTTTGCAGGGTCATGGCAGGGGCAAGGTCGGCTTTCTTCAACTCGCCTGCCAGTGCCAAGCCCAAAACCCTTTCGGGGGCCTCAAAAGGTAGGATGAAGGTAGGTGGGATACTCCCAAATAAGAGTCCTTATATAAGGGATCCTTAATCCCACCTACCTTCATCCCACCTTGTGAGGCCTCCGACCCCGAAGCTGAAGTCGCACTTGTTACCATGCTGAGGCCCCAGCCCATGGCCCGTTCCTGGGCGAAAGCATTCCCGGACGCCACGCGATTACCGTCTTCAAGTGTCCATCGCGTTACATTAGATGCTACTATAGTGGCCTCAATGATTTGAATAGCGTTTGGGGAAGTACTATACCACAAGTGTAATAAGGAACCCCACAGAGCATTGGTAGTTATTTAGGCCACTACATTACATGGCATTGCTTCTCTCCGTCGAGTTGTCGCCACGCCCGAAGCTCGCCATTCACGGGCGTTCTGTCGGAAACCCTAGACCCTAAACCCTAACCGCTGTCACGTAACTTGGGCGTGGCGGCGGGTTAGTGCCAAGATCCCTCAACACTACATACTTGGAGATTCATCGGACTTAGTGAGTACGGCTATAAGTACCTTAACTGGGGTTCTAAGATTCTAAGCAAATACAAGTAGAGTTGGTTTCTAATACTTTCGGCCAAAAGTTGAAAACCGAGAAAGCGAGCCAAGCAAGTATCACGTTCTTGGCTGCAATGCCAGCATCAAAAGCTTGGATATGCGAAACTCTGGGATGCAAGATCGACGCTACTTAGCTCCAGAGCAAAAACACATGCAGCACGTGGCAGTAAAGTGCAACGAAGCAGAAGATACCTAGAGACTGTGAACTCCACGTATGTTTCCCAGGGTCCAGGTTTGAGGGTTCAGTCTTGCGTCTAAGGGTATAGGTTTAGGGCGGGCCTAAACCATGAACCCTAGGATTTTCATGAAGGGCAGCCTCAAATGCCCTAAACCCTACCCCTATGGATCCCCTAAGGAACCATTAGGGCTCCTTCAAACCCTACTTGGAGGATCATGGGACTCAGTACGTAAGGTTACAAATACTCTACTTGGGTTTAGGGTTTAAGGTTTAGGGTTGGGAGTTATAAGTGTAATTACCCTATTCATAGCCCTAGTTACTAAGTCCCATGATCCTCCAAGTACATCCTAAACAGCCCTAAACCCTACACCACCCTAAGGATCCCTTATAGATCCCTTTAAGGGAACCCTTTAAGGGAACCCTAAACCACCCCAGTTGCCTCAAGTCCATCCAGGAGCCAAGCTGCTCCTCCGGATTCTCATGAAAGGCAGCCTAAAAAGCCCTAAACCCTACCCGTACAGATCCCCTAAAGGAACCATTAGGGCTCTTTTACACCCGAATTATCTCAAGTCCATCTGAAAGGGGCCCTAATTGGGGTTACGGTACTTGTAAGTCCTTAAAATAACCAGTTACTAAGTCCCCCGACCCTCAAATAAGTCCCATGATCCTCCAAGCAGTTGCCTCCCGTCCATCTGAGCCAAGCAGCTCCTCCGGATTCTCCGGCTTCCGGAGCTGGCCCTGGTCGTCGCAAATCAGCGGGGGCGTCCTTAACGGTGCTTCGGGTCCGGGGTGTAGGGTTTAAGGTTTAGGGCTTAGGGTTTTGTGGTTTAAGGTTTAGGATTTAGGGTTTAAGGTTCAAGGCGTCACGGCTCGAGGCAAGCTGAGTGAGGTAGTTCTCCAATTTGGTGTTTCACCTCACTCCTTGCCATACCTGACCCCAGCACCCAGTGCGTTCGGCGCTGCCCTTTGTGGGGCTCGTCAAGGGCCGTGGGCCCTTGCTGTCTGGAGGACAGCCGCTGATACCTGAGGGCCTTGCCCCGCTGCCTTTCACTAGGCCGTCGGCCTGCTGCTCTTTTGGTATTCCAGCCTACTTTTGCCCCTGCAGGGGTGTATGACTGCACGCCGCAGGTACACTCCTTTACTCCCACTGGCGCTGGTGGGTATATTTTTGCTGGTCTGGGGTTGCTCCTGCCCTGACTGTGCGCCGGCCAAGGAGTCCGGCGTGGCATCGCCGAGCCCGCAAAAGGCGGGCACAAGCACGTCGCCGCCTTCACCTTGGACGCAGTTGGCCAGGCGACCGGGCCCTACTTCAGGCCCATCACGGAAGCATGCCCCCGAAAAAGGGGGCCAACGATCAACCCTCCACCAAGGGTGGAGCTGGGAAGGGGAAGGATCGCACCGAGGCTCAGATCACGCGTGTCGATTTTGGCCTGCCGTCCTCCATGGTTCAGACGTTGCAATCAATTTCGTCGAGAGCCACACAGGACCTTTGGGGACAAGGATCCTTTACGACAGATGGTGCAACAGTGGAACAGTTGGCACAGCGAACAGCCAACACCCTGGGCCGCCTTTCCAAAAGACTCAATGGCAACATGCGTGCCAAGAAGGACCTACAGGATGCGCTGACAGCTTGGGTTTCCATGCTCAGCCAACAGTTGTTGGGCCTGACGCATCGAGTGGATGCCCTGTCTCGCAAGGTGGACGAGGACACAATCGCAGCAGTCGAGGAGCTCCGTCATGTCTCGGCAGCACAACCGTCTGCAACCACCAACGAGCAGCTGGCGAGAGCGGAACAGTCCTTGGGCCCTGTCTGGACGGATCCGCAGGTACAGGTCAAGGCGTTTGCTACTACGAACCCTTCATCGCTGGACATGCATCCTGGCCCTGGAGGCTCCGTGGCTCTTGTGCCACGTGGCACCCTTGGGGCTCCCCTGCAGCCGGCCACTGCTATGTCTGCAACTTTGATGCCACCGGTCCCGCTTGGCCCACCTGCAGCACATCCTGGTGGTTTTGGGAGCGGTGGATCGGAGGCCAGCTTCGGGACCCCAGAACGCTCGACAGGCGTCGGAGAGTCGGAGGCGCGCAGTGGCAGATGGCGGCGTCGAGCGGCCCTCCAAGAGCCCCCGGCGCGATCTGCCAGGGCCTCCATGGCCACGGGAATCTACAAGCCGCAAATTGGAGGCACCTCAGCGAGCTCCGGTCACTGTGGTGGCAGACGAAGGCCCCGAGCTCCTCCCTGGGGCGTTGGCTGCATCTGCTGGTCCTTGGGTGGAGGCTTGGATGGCCATGCTCCGTTTCTGTGTCGACAGTGGCTCCGACATGGTGGGCGATGTGGCACAGTGCCCTCAGCAAGACGCCTGCCTGCCGCTTACTTTGGACGCACAAGCACAGGAAGCGACTCTGCAGACTGCAGAGTCCACGTGGATGGCCTTGGTGAATGCAGTCAGCGAACCCACCCAGGCGGACCTTCAGGAGCTACATCGACTCCTGCAAACGGCTTTGCACTGCTTGCGGAAGTGCACGGACGTCTTGCCGCGGGTCCGGCAAGGACTTCTGGTTGCCAGCTTGCTGACCACAGGAGGCCTGCTGGATCCCTTTTCATTTGCACCCTCTACGGCCCAGGAATGGCTGTTCCCCAGCCTCTTGCTGGAGGCCGAGGTGCAATTGCGCGGCTTCATCGCTCGGGATGCCTCACAGGACCCACGTGTTCAAGTCCTACTGCGCCTGCCTTCCCCGTTCCTTGGTGCAGCGCTGGCCGAGGAACTGGACAAAGAACTCGAATGATACTGGACTATGTTTCTTCGAGTCTGCTCTGCTGCAACGGCGTTGTCGCACTCAGCCCAGCTGTCAGTGCTCAAGAAGGCGGCGTTAAATCGCCTCTTTCTTTGACCACTCTCAGCCTTTTCCTGGGGCGGTGCCTCATCTTGTGCATAGCTCTGTACAGAGTAGCCGTCGTCAGTGAGCGTTTCCTGGCCACATACGGACCGCAGCTCTCGTGGCGCCGCTCGTGGCAGCTCAGCTGTACCCTGTCAGCGACAGCTTGGTGGGTGGCAGCTCTTTTTGGGCCGCCTACCTCCATGTTTGCCTGCGCTTGCATCAGTGAACTTTTGGCCTTCCTCCCTGGTCTTGCCCTGGACTTGGGCTCTACGCGCTTCGGCCATCTTTGCACTTGTGCATGTCCTGGTGGCTTCGCATCCCGGTGCCGTTCCCTCCTACACCGGCCCTGCATGTGGCGGAAACCCCTTTGGCTGTCCTTCGTGACCCGCTGGGTTACCCTTTGTCTTTCTGGGGTCGAGGATGCTTGGTCGTGCACCCGGAAGGGGACTCCGTGCCGTCGTGTTGGCAGCAGTCGTTGCAAAAGCCGATCGGGTGCTCGTGTATCTGGCTGCCGTCGTCTGGGGACGGCCCTTTTCCTCGGCTACCTCTCGGTTGTGGATGGCTCGACTTTGCACCTTGGTGTTCTCCTCGCTGCCTCCTGCTCGCGGTTTCCGGCGGCGGTGCAACTGCATGCACATGGGTTTCATGAAGGACGTCCCGTTCTCAGCACAGGTCCTGTCCTGCCCACTCCCTCTGTGGATGCTATGTGTGAGGTTTATCCAGTTGGCCGGACTGGTAATCTTCTTCTTCCCCGCACGGACCGCAACCGCCGGCACTTGGCTGTCTTCGTAGGCACTCCTCCGGGAGCGCCTGTTCTCGAGCCTTGCCCCGTCCCGTTCCTTGTGGATGAATGGCTCCATGGTCCTCTCTTGCATGCTCGGTTGTCCGCCTCCCTTGGGTTCATGGCGAACACCTTCTCGGTTTGCCCAATTCGTGGTTCTGCCCGGGCTCCCAGGTGAGCAGCTCCTGTTATTCCCTGTTACCTGCACCTGGCGCCAGGTGTGGCTCCCGGTCGACCTCAGGCAGCTTGGAGGCCGTGTTTGCATGCTGCTCTGCTCCCGCGACTCCACTTGCAGGTCTATTGCTCAGCTAGCCATGACAGCCCAGGAGGTTCGTGTTGACCTGGATCGCCTTCTTGCGCGATGTCAATGGGGGTGGCTTACGCTAACTTCCCAACCTCTTTTCCTGCAAGATGTTGACACTTTGCAGTTTCAGATTGGGCCGGCGCCGGAGTCCCTGCAAGGCCCTGTTGGAGCCTCCCTTGACCCTCCCATTTCTCTTTTCTCCGCTATGCAGGTCAGCCTTCCCACCTATCCCACAGGCCCCGAGGTTTTCCACGGCCGCTCCCACAACCAGGCAGTGCTAATAACCCCCAATGGCCTAGTATATGTTGAGGCTCCGGTCTTCGCCGACGCGGCCACTTTCCGTCGCATCGTCGCTTCGCAGGCCTCTCCCCATGCCACTGGGGGGACCATGCGCATCTGGCAGCCGCTACCTTCCCTCCCTCTAGTTCAGTTTCTGGAAGTCCACTGCATAGGGGATGAGGTACCGTGCATCTTGGACTTTCGTCCAGTTGGCTGGCGTCTTACCACTGTGTGTGTGGTACCGCCGGTCACTGCCGTCGCCGCCATCGGTGCTGCCTCCAGGAGAGAGCGCAATTGCATTCCGTTGGAATGGGTTGAGCAATGCTCTAGAGGGGGTTTCGGGTTGCTACATCGGGAGCTAGTGGTTCTGCCTGACCAGGTCCTCACCGGCAACTTCCCCCTAGTCTTAATGTTCTTCCCACATGTCTTCCGACAGGACTCCTCGTCCTCCTCTGAGGAACAGGTAGGGGGCTGGGACGAACCTGATGCCTCTGGTGCTACCGATACTGTCATTTCGATGCAGCACACCTTGCTTCCGTCACCAGCTAGATCTCAAACAGCCACAGCCATGCCGGCTTGTACCGGGATCTCCCCGGCTGCCTTTCTTAACCCGCCTGCAGCCCTCCCAGAAACACCTGTGCCTCAGGCTGATGCGACGCCTGGGTCAGCCTTTGATGACGACCCAGCGCCTTCCCACGCGAGACCTCGGCGCCTCTGCTTCTCCAGCCTCCTTCTGGTCTTGGCTCATGGCGGAGCTCTTAGCATGCCGTGCTGCGCCCGCAGCTACATCCTCATAGCACTGCTTGGTTTTGTGCCCTCCTGTACTGTTCACCTGCACAGCGAACCAGCTTCTCCGCGTGAGGTTGTCGTCTCTGCAGCCAGAGCTACGGATAGAAGGGTTGCAGCGCCAGCCGGTATTCACGCTTCTCTCCAGGCTGTTTGGCTTCAGGAAGGGGACTTCGGCGAAGGTCCCTTGTGGAAGTCGCTTCCGGTGCAAGAAAGGGGATATTTGATTACCTGTCGGCTGTGGTCGCCGGGCACATCTGTCAGGCTTGAATTCTCCGGTTTGGGCTCCTCCCGTGAGGCTGCTGCCGAGATTTACCGCCAGGCCATTCGCTTGGGGCGCCCCCAGGTTGTTGCCGCGTCTGCAGGCCCCACCAGTGACGCTGTTAATTTAGTCACTCTCCCTCAGCACCCACAGATGCTGACAGTGTTGTTTGCTGCTGGCTCTCGGGTTGTCTGTGCGGAGTTACCGACTGATTACACTGCCGTTCAGGTTTTGCGCATTGCGCGACAGGCTGCCGAGGCGGAAGAGGTGCAGATCTTGAAGGGCTTTGCTCATCGGCAGCACCGTCGCTTACGCAAAGAAATTCGCGTCGCTTGCGCAAAGATTTGCCCAGTCGCTTGCGCAAAGACGGGTGTCGAATCCATTGTAAAAACCATAGGAACGTGCACTTCGGTCTTTTTCGGAAATGGCTTCAACAAGCTTGGAAATGTGTCGAATCCATTGTAAAAACCATAGGAAAGTCCACTTCGCAAGTTAGCCGAAATTGACGACATTTGCGCGCGAAAGTGCCGAATCCATTGTAAAAACCATAGGAAAGTGCACTTGCCCAGTTGGCAAGTGCTGGCCGAAAAGTGCGTTTTGAGCTGTATTAGGAAACATCTGACAGACCATCGAAAATGCACTTTTGGAGTCTCGAAAAGAATGTTTTCGTTGGTTTCCGGAGAAGCGTTTTCAGAGCATGCTTCGGGGGCCGATAACGTCCGTGTTTGACGCGTGCAACAAGGGCACTCTCAGTGGAACCGTTGAAAACGCACTTTTGGAGGCTCGAAAAGCACGTTTTGGTCGGTCCTGCGGGGGTGGGTGGGGTGGGGTGGGGGGGTGGGGTCGGGGCTAATAACGTCCGTGTTTGACGCGTGCAGCAAGGGCACTCTCAGTGGAACCATTGAAAACGCACTTTTGGAGGCTGGAAAAGCACGTTTTGGTCGGTCCTGGAAGGGGTGGGGCTGGGGGGGTGGGGTGGGGGGGTGGGGCTAATAACGTCCGTGTTTGACGCGTGCAGCTCATTGGAACCCTGGAAAACGCAATCTTGCTCGAGACGCACGTTCTGGTTGGTCCTGGGGGGGCGGGTGGGGGGGTGGGGGGTGGGGTGGGGGCTAATAACGTCTGTGTTTGACGCGTGCAGCAAGAGCGCTCTCAAAAAGCACGTTTTGGTTGGTCCTGGGTGGGGTGGGGCTGGGGGGGCGGGGTGGGGGGGTGGGGTTGGGGCTGGCTTTCAGGTTTGGCTTCATTGCTTAATTCTCGGGGGGGGTGGGGGGGTGGGGTTGGGCGCTAAGAACGTCCGTGTTTGGTGCGTGGAGTAAGAGAAGTCGCGTTGGCAGCAGTACGTTCTGGTTGGTCCCATGGGCGGGCGGGTGGGTGGGGGGTGCGGTGGGGGGCTAAGAACGTTGGTAATTGGCGCATGCAGCAAGAGAAGTTGCGTTGGCACCAGCACGTTCTTGTTGGTCCCAGGGGGGGAGGGTGGGTGTGGCGTGGGGGGCTAATACCGTTCGTGTTGGACGCGTGCAGCAAGAGCAGTGTCGCTGGCAGCAGCACGTTCTTGTCGGTTCCAGGGGGGGGGCTAATAAAGTCCGTGTTCGACGTGTTTGGAACCATTTTTTTTCATGTTAGTTCCAGGGGGGGCGGGTGGGGAGGGGGGCTGATAACGTCCGTGTTTTTGTCGCGTGCAGCAAAAGAATTCTCGTTGGCCCCAGCATGCTGAGAACGTCCGTGTTTGACGCTCCCACGGAAAACGCACTCTTGGAGGCTCGAAATTCACGTTCCGGTTGGTTCTTGGGGGGGGGGTGGGGGGGTGGGGTGGGGGGCTAAGAACGTCCGTGTTTGGCGCGTGGAGCAAGAGAAGTCGCGTTGGCCGCAGTACGTTCTGGTTGGTCCCAGGGGGGGTTCAAATGTGAAAACAGGGGCTAAAGACCGACGCGGGGAAGCCGAATCCTGTGGCCCTGCCAGCACTTTAACAACTTCGGAACCAAAAAGCGCGATTTCCAGCATGCACGCCCAGAGCCGGAAACCATGGCCCTGCCGACGTTTCGTGCACTTTCAGACCTCCCCAACATCGCGAAGTTACAAGTAACGAAGTCCGAATTCATTGGCCCTGCCAACACAAAACGCACCTCCGCGCGTACAAGCGAACGGGCACGCCTTTGCACAAGCGAACGGGCAAATCTTTGCACAAGTGACCGCTCAGCCTTGCTCATCGCCTCCGACACGGCGATGTTGTCCGGATCGCGGCTGGTGCCACAGTTCGCACACTGGATGTGTCCGCCTTTGTTCTCCCTTCCGACTCCGAGACGGCATCCCGATGGTTACATACTTCTCGGTTGGTCTCCATCCTTCACCCTAGTGACGGAGTACTCACCTTTGAGGTCCCGCGTTCGGCCGATCTGACCACCCCGTTACTTCGGACCTTGCTTGGCACCAGTATCCCTGGGAAGCATGTTTTCCTTGAAGTGCCAGGGGCCGACGCTCTGCCCCACTCCACCTTTGTTGCAGTGCGCCCGGGTCAGGACTGTATCATTTATAGGCTCACCGATGTCCACGACCCCTCCGCGGTGGGGCTCTTCATGGCCTTCGCGGGTGTCTTCTCGTCCTTCCCAGTGTTTCTCGAGAGTCTCCTCCGGAATTCAGGGCCTGCTGCCCTTCTACTGCGGACGGTCCAGCCTTTTGGGCTGTCAGTGCTGTCTTGGGAGTCTTCCCCCTTTCCAGGACGGGAGGACTGCCATTTCTGGGTAGTGCACGCCCAAGCCGACTTCGGGCGTGCCCGACGACACTCGATACATTTGCACTGGCAACCCCCCTTAATACGGCAATCCCCGGACTTCCTCCCTATGCCCCGCATTAAGACTGCCCATAGTGTCGGGGTCCAGACTAGTGCCCCCTTTCTGGTTACTAATACCCAAACCTCCATCCTCCAAGCGCCTCCGTCAGCATGCAGCGTCGGGGTCGTTCCGGATTCGGCCACCGACCTTGTTAGTCTTTGGTGCGACGCGTGGCACGTCAAGTGCTTGATAACTTGCATCCCGGGCTTCACCGCCTGGGCCCTTCGAGAGGGTAGCAGCCTCCTGGGTATGTGCACTCCGGCCCCTTCGTGGGAAGCTGTTGCTACTGCTCTTGATATCTCGCTGTGGGAGCTTCCGCACACGTTCCTCTCGGATACCCAGCGCGTTTGGCCGTATCCAAGCGAGCTCTCCGCTGTTGCGACTCGATGCGTCAGCGTCGGCTACGACTCGCATGAAGGAGTCGCCCAACTCTGGAAACAGTGTCAACACAGCAGCCCGAGCCCATCGCCCACCCCCCCGAGCTTGGCGTCGGCGGCACTGTGCCTTGCCGGGCTGCGCAGCACTAGGGTTTGGTGCCTAATGGTTGCTTTGGCTTCGGTTGTCAACGCGGTGCAACTTTCTCTCCCGTCCACTGCCCTGCAGCCCAGGACCCTGCCGGATGGCTGCCTACAGCTGCGCAGGGACTTCGCCAGGCCTTGCACGATGTCGTGGACACATGAGCTGAGCCGACAGACCTATGGTTTCGCGGTTGCCTCCCCACATCTTGGGGCCTATATCGCTCGCACTTGCCCTTCCTCCGAGGTCCAAATGCACCTCTGGCTTCCCGGACAGGGCCCTATTCATCTGCGGGTGGCGGCGCAGCACCTAGGCGCCCACTTAGGAGCCTACTTAGGGGGTTTCTTGCCAGCCTGTGAATACGGTCTCCACGTCGCCTTCGACTCTAACCCTCAGGTTCTTGATCTTATTATCGCCCCTCCTGGTGCAGCCGCGTGGTGGATTGTGAAAGATACGATTGGGTGCGAACTGTTGCGACCCGTGGTACAACACTACGTCTCGCAGTGCTCCTTTTTCTTCTGTGCCATCGAGCCTGACGGTGCCGTCTACAGCGTGGAGCCATCAGCAGAAGTGCGGTTCATGACCCCAAGCCCACATGGAGCCCGAGCCCTTGTTGCTAAGGTCCTGCCTGGTCTCGTGGGTAGGGTGGTTGACGGGGTCCTTCAGGTCGTAGCCGCCAAGGCGGGCTCAGTGTCGCTTGCGGGAGGCTTGGCTCTTCTCTTGCTCAGTGGCCAAGCCGCCTCGATGCAAACCGCTCCGGAGCTGCCCCTGGTACCAGCCATTGAGCCGCCTGCTCTGCCTGCGATCATGCGCATCTGGACCCTCAATGTCCGCCAGCCTGTGGATCTACCATGGCGGGCTGAAGGTTGCCCCACCAGGTGGTTGCGTGATCTCATGCGCCGTTTGCACAGCATTGATGATCCCGGCGAGTTTCGGTCCACGTGTGGCCCCCGGGACAGCGGCGTCCAGCATGTTCTGTCTGTACCATTAGTGCCCCCCACTGTGCCGCGCAATCGTTTTTGGCTCTTGCACTGGGGTGAGGCGGCCGTCGTTGCCTTTGGTCACACCCCCTTCAGTTGGGATGTTGTCTCGGCACACTTGCGCACGCTCTTTCCGGGGGGCCAAGTCCCCGACCGTTGCCCAGCCATCGCCTACGCCGGTGCCTTCTATCCCCCGGGTGCCGCTCTGCCAGACCTCCCGTTTGGGGCAATTATCCAGCTTCTAATCGGAGCTCTGGCTCGTGTCCCCAGTGAAGACGACCCTTGGCATCCCGAACCCTATGTTGTGGACGGCCCGTGGTTCCAACATGTCCCCAGCAAGGGACCTGCACTCGAGCCCGCAATTCTCATCGATGCTGGGGGTAGCAGGCGGCCCGACGGCTACGTGCCAACTACGTTGGTTGACCAGGGCACTCAAACCGATCTGTCGGGCAACGGTACCGGCCTCGATCATGCCACAGTTTCCAGAGTGCACTCTCTGGCCCAAGAACTCACCTTCCACACCTCCAGGCTATGGGCTGGCCTTGCCGAGCCCGACGCAGAGCCTGCTGACTGCGCCGGGCCAGTCTCTTGGCCCCCCCGAGGTCACTGCTGCTGCTGCGGCCTTACCACCCGACGTCGACCTACTGGATATGGGCAGCCCCTCCGGTTGCCAGCAGGGAGCAGCGAGCTCCTGGGCCCTCTTGGTGTTTCTGGGGATGCTTGGTCACCCCCGCCTTGGCCTCCTCTTCAGCCTTCTGCATGTCTCCCCTCTTTGTCGGGGGTCATATATCCTCCCGGGATCTGCTAGTTCCGATGAAGAGCCTGCCCTCAATATACCTCCAATTCCAACATGGTCGCGGTGAATATGTCTTCTGCTAGCTCTGCTCCGACACCATTCTCTCAACCTGCAGGGCCACCACCTCCTGACCCTGTCAACGCTCCCTTTCAGCCCCGGCTCCTCTTCCTGCGCGCGGCCCGTCCACTGGAAGACTATGCTTTGGGCCTGTGGCCCCCTCCTGTTGACCGGGAGCCGGCGGCCGATGAGGACGCCGTCCGCAGAGTTCAATCCGGTCTCCTGAACCGCCAGCGGGGCTTGCGCACTTTTGCAGCGGCTATTCCGCTAGGCACACCCTTCTGCATTCATAACCCCTTCACGGCTAGGCCTCAATGTGAGATGGTCGAGTACGCGGCCGGCCCTGAGATCAATCCACTCACGCTCTTTGCCAGCCATGCCAGACATCGCGGGTGGGCTGGTCTTGTTCTCCTTCAGCCTCAGCCAGATTCCTCCGCGGTGCACCTTATCGGATGCCCCGTTGCTTCGGGGAATGCAGCGGTGGGGATCGTTTTTGATGACCGCCTCATTCCTTGCTGCCTGCCAAATTGCGTCCCTGTTACTGCCCTCGGGGCGCTTGTGCTGGAAGGCCACGCTTGTAACCTTAACCCCCCGGAGTTCCAAGAAGGCTCTGCTGTGGTCCAATTCCGCAATGGTGACTGCTTGGCTGCCCGCCGCTGCACGGCTCGCACGGCTGCGAGCCATCTTCTTCCTGACATTGCGACCGCTTCCCACCCTTCTGCCACGGCTGCAGCAGGTGAGGCCAACACCGCTGCTTCTTCTGCTTGCTGGCCTAGGGCTAATCTTTGGTGGGGTCTTTTGGGTTTCGGGCTACAGGGTCGAGGCGCCTCTCACCTTCGGTCTCTTCTTTGGAGCCGCTATCGGGCATGCATCGCCCAGGAGGGTTCCCATGGGGTGTTGACCCGGCCAACCGTGACTTCTCAGGCATCACGGCCGACGATCCTGTCTACGTCGTCCTGCATAGCCCTTTCCAAGGAGTCTTCCCCCCCTATACTGCCTCGCAAGAGACCCGGCACTCACAAGTTTGGGCGCAGTTCCTTAACGACGATCCGGGTTGGGCCTCAGAGTACTTCCCGGTCTGGCCAGGACCTGCTTTCAACGAGCTGTCGATCGTTCCGGTTGGACAGGATGCAGCGCTTGTCACCATCATGTTGGTGTGGCGTGGCCACCACAGGGCCACCCTGACGCCACGGACTATGACGGTGGACTGGCTCACTGCCTTCATTGCCCGTCACATCAATCACCCGGTCGGCGGCATCTCACTTCCCCATGGCCTTGCTGTCAGCGAACTTTTTGATGTCCCACCAGCGGCTTTCCGCTTCCGCAATGGTGACGTGGTCCATGTCCATGATCCACCTGAGGATCCTTCCGAACCACTGGAGTTCGTCGAGCCGTGGCACCTTCAGGACGGACTTGCGGCACATCACGCTCCGTGGGCCGTCGGATTTCAGCTCATGTTCGGCATATCTGTACATCTACTTCGACCCGAGCGGCCACCGCTCCTGGCTTCCATTGCTGCCGGAGAAGCCTGGTGTCCAGAGACTTTCACTTTTTCGGGAACGTTCCAAAACCACTTCCCCGGCATGTGGACGCCGGTCCAATGGACCCGAGCCCGCGCCCTGCAGCTGATCGAGGTTAATGGGGTTGCAGCTAAGGTCAACATCGTTGCTGCCACTCCGGAAGGCCGGCTATGTCGTTCAGTTGACCGCATCACCTCTCGTGACCATATTGCCTCCCAGCTTAACTTTCTCCCCGCCACCATTTGTGTGGGAGGAGTGCCCTCATATGCCATCGACCAAGCGTGTGAGCTTCGGAACGGCGATGTCATTTTTGGTCACTTTGCTCGCAGCACCTGCTTTGGCCGGTCGCACTTTTGGGGTCTTGCCCTTGCCAGTCTCCTGACCAGACGATCCCACCCTGGTGCTCTTGCCGTCCTTCTTTTTGGTGCTCTGGGGTTGCGAGCCTCCTCCCTGCCGGCAGCCCCTGGGCCTTATCTCTTGGCCGCCTCTATGTGTCTGCCTGCGGCCCATGCCATGCACATGCAGGCCTCTGCCTCTTCAGCCCCGATTCCGGTTGCAGCTCCCCCCCGCCTCACCGTCACAGTTGCCAATCCCTTTGCCTCGTGGGCCCGGGTGGAAGTGGACCCTCAGCACCTGTTCGATGCCGTCATCGCTGATGCGCACCACACTCTTACATCATGGCATAAGGGTTTTGCAGCTACTGGGCTTGTCTTTGATGGAGCCCAAGTCGTGGTGCCGCTCCCAGGAAGTCGCCTGGTCTGCATCCTTGTCGCGGGTCTCGGGCAGCTACTATGCGTTGTTCTGCCCGCCTTTCTTACCCCCAGAGACCTGATGCAGGCGATCCAGATGCGCCTTGGTCGCCGCGTTTGTGTTAGCCTGCCCCCTGGTTTGGCAGCAGCCGCTCGGTCCGCCCGCCCGGTTCTTGCACTCCGGTCAGGGGATGTTGTTTCCGTCCACCCCCCTCAGCTTGATCCCCTCGCTGGTCCACGTGAGCCGCCTGTTTTTCTCACATGGGGCGCTGCCCATGCAGCCGCGGCGCGGCACTCCGACTTCGTTGTGGCTCACGCTTCTTGCGTTCTCCTGTGGTCACCCTGCCGCCCTGCGCGAATTGCTCTCCTTGGTCATCAGGCCAGATGGGATGCGGCCGCGGCCACCGTGCAACGCCACGAGCACGAGCTCGGCTCCCACCGTTGGGCCCCCTGCCACGGCCATCTTGGGGCCCCTCCTTGGCTTGTGGAACAGTCTGCCGCCGAGGGGAGAGCAAATATCATCCAATCTCGTGACTCTACTCGTTGTATTGAAATAGCACGGGATGCCGCCCACGATCTTTATATCGATGGGTTTTCGCTCCGGCCCGCCTCTAGTCGTGCCTGCTCGGTTGCCAATGTGCGTGATGGCGACTGGTGGGTGCTTTCAGCTGCTACCGGCCTGCTCGCCCGGCGGGGTTCTTTGTATGTTCAGCTCGCCTGGTTTGTCTACAGCTTTGCCACCCAAGGCTGGGCCGTGTCTTCCGGTGCCTCGAGCGGTTGTCCAAGCGTCGACTCATCCGAGGCTCGCACCATCCGCACGAGGCGGCGCCCGAGCCGCAGTCGATCCCCGGCCTCGCCATGGCCCGGCCGATTCTTCCCGCCCAGGGTCGACTTCAATGACGGCGAGCCCGTTGTCATTCAAGGTGGCTGGCAACCGGACTCGCCCGATTGCCCTCTTGCGCGCTGCTTCCCTGGGCCGCGACCACAAACGGCCAGGGTGCTTTGCCCCCTTCGAGGCTGGAGTGAGGTGTTCTTTGCCGACCTTACTGCTACGTGGCAGGCTATAGAACTCGTTGGATCTCGGCACTGCGGAAGCTGGGCGCGTAAGTTTTTCCCTGTACGGTCGGTCCTACTGCTCTCTCAAATCACAGTTGCACCCGTCGCGCCCTACGGGCTGGCAACTGTAGTCTTTCATTTGGAGAGCTGCTCCGCTGTTGCCCTCGCACCGGTTGACTCGAGCCTTGCTGATATTCACCGCCTGGCCACTCGGGTGTTCCCGCATACCCGTTTCTGGCGGGTGGTCGCCCCTCCGGTGCTGAGTGCCGCCAACCCTCACACTCATGTACGGTTGCGTAATGGGGATGCTTTTAGTCTAGTGCCAGAGAACTCCCAACCGGAGGCCACTAGATTTCCCCTCCTCCAATACACTTCCCTGGAGAGGGCTAGGCAAGTAGCTAGTTGGTCCCTTCCTTTCCGGTTTGATGTTGGGGGTTTGGTTTTTCTTTGGTACACTAATCGCAAAGTCGGCCATTGCCTTCGCATCCGCGATGCTGGCTATTGGAATCCGGACGGCCCCACCTTCTGGAGCCTTAATGGCGAGGCGCTTTCGGGCTCTTGGGTACCGGTCCTCATCGGTGACCTCTCCAGCCTCCATCTTATGCATCGGACCTCGATCGGCAAGGCGCATGTGCTTTTCCTGTTTCCCCCTGACCTGGAGCCAGTGGGAAGACTTCTTGCCGGCTGCAACGTTTTCCGCACCCCGCCGGGGTGGCGTCTCCTACCAGCCCTGCAATGCGTTCGTGCCGACAGCTCGCTTCGAGATGGCGATGTTCTGGTGCTCAACCCTACAGCCGACCTTGTCTGGGATCCTTTTGGGCCACCCCCATTAGTTCCTGCTGAACCGGAACCAGGGACGCCCCCTGCCGCATCTCCGGCTGCTGCTCGTCCTGCTTTTTGGGCTCCTTTGATTGCGCTTCTCGCCCACTGCCCTAGATGGACGGTGCTCGCTCTCTCTCTGCACATGGGTCTGAGTATGGTCCCGGTTGCCGAGGTCCCGGAGCAACCCATCCGGGCCGGCCTCTACCCCTGGCGTATGTCGCCGCGAGAAGCGGATCTGGTTAATGTGTCCTCCGGCACCGAGCTCGATATTGTCTATCTTAGCCCCTTTACGGGGCCGCAGGAAGCTGGCCGCCTCCCAGCCGCAGCCCCCATCTCCGAACTCAATTCTTTGACCCGGGCCTGTGATCCGGTATGGGGTGCCGACGTGGTACCTGTGTGGCCGACTGCGGCCATCCGGCCCTGTTGGTGGTGCCGCGGCCACCTACCCCTGACCTTGTCTGCCTAGCTGTCACTTCCTTGGATCGGCACTTTTCGATTTTGGTGCCTTGCTCCACGTCAGTCTCTTGGCTCAGCTCTGCGTTACGGGCACTGCAGCCCATGCACACGTTGTCTTTAAGAGCGCCTAGCTCGCTCTCTGCGGATTCCACCGCTGATCAAGCGGTTCGATGGCGCTCGGGTGACCTTGTTGTCGCTCTGCCACCCGCTGCCTTTGCGCCGGACTACCAACCGCCCTGCTTTCACACAGACGAGCAAGTTCGTCACTGTGCGATCTGGGCCGCGGACTTCTCGGTCACGGCTCGAGTGTCTTTTATACTCTGGCGGCCTGGCCAACGTGCTATTCGTGGTCACGCGCCAGCCGGATCCCAATGGAGAGCTCTCGACTACACATTTGCTGGCGACTTTAGCCTCCACTACCCGGGTCGGTGGGTGCCGGTCCCTTGGATTGCGCAAGAATTTGCTCACTTAGTTGTGCTACCGGATGACCCCTCGAGTGTCAATGTCGTTGTGGAAGCGGACGGGCACTGCTGGTGCGCTACAGTTACCGCCGCCACAGATGCGTGGCAGCTTTGGACGGACCTGCCCACGGTTTCTAGTCAGCCTCGCGTCCTAGGGGTTCCTCACCAAGAGCTACGGCAAGGGACCACCCTGCGTAGCGGGGACATTGTATCCGGTACGGAGCCTGCCTTTTCCCTCAGGGTTGCTCGAGGGGCCTTTGGCCTCGCAATGCTACACGCTTTCCGGGGCAGTGTGGGCATCTTAGCCCTTGCCCTTCTGCTTGCTAGTCCCCTGGCACCCCCGGTTGCCACTGGGATGCGCCTCTCTGGGGAAACCGAGGATTGGCACAAACGCACTCCGGATGCCCCAGCGCAAGCCAGCACTATGCATCATCAGGGCACCTGCCACCGTCTCTGGGACCCTGCCGGTAGCATCCTCGGGCCCTTTTGGGGACCTGCTGCCGTGCCCCCTTCAGCCCTGCAGGACGCCGCACCGGCGTGTCCGCCTTTACCCAAGTGCGACCGCCACAAGACCACCGTGTTGTGGACTGGGTCCCGATCCCCTCGGATCCCTTATTTGCCACTGTTCTCCTTCAATGTCCGCCAGCCACCCGGGCGGCGCTGTTACCGGCCACCTGCGCGGCTGCTGATCTCAATAGGGCGTGCCGCCGCTGCGCCGGACCTCCCCCAGGTTCTGGCCCCGCCGGAGATGTGGTGCGGGTCCGCCCACTCCTCTCACCCGACCCTCTTTGGTCACACTTGCTGGGGCTGAATGGGTCCCCCGCCTGCGTTCGCCTGTTGGGCGCTTCTGGGAGACTCTCCAACAAGCCCGGCAGTTTGCCTTCTGGGGGAGCCCGTTCAGAATTCGGCAACCCGGTTTGCTCTTCGCATGGTCCCCTGGGGAACCGGCACCGCTCACTGTGCCCACGGACCGCAACGAGCAATGGGACCCCGACCATTGTACCTTCCGGCCCACGCTCGCACGGTTTAGTGTCGGGCGCTGGATACCCGCAGACCGCAGTGATGACCTCGGCCTTCATCTGGTACCTGAAAGCCCCAACCTCCTTTGGGCCAATGTCTTGTCCCGACGGCAGCCGCTGCATGCTCGCACTGTTCCCAGATACGGATCTGGCGGGTTTTTGAGGGATGGTGATAGCAGCTCCGCCTGTTGCAGCGCTCCCTCCCCTCTCCTTCTCGGCCTCATAGGCGGTTGGTTGTCCCCTAGGCTGTCTAGGTGGTCCTGGTTCGGAGTATTGGGTCTTTGGACGTTGTGCTGTCAGCCGCGCTCGCCTGTCGCGCTGTATGGCTCCACCCCTCCGGAGTATCGGGCCGCAAACCCGCCCAACTTGGATCGTGGTCTATTGGCACGTACCCGCTGTTACCTTCGAGCCTGGGGCGCCCCCTCATGGTCCAGTTCGGATGGTATTTCCTGGACAGCCGACCTTCATGAGGAGTGTGTGGCGCAAGCATCTCTGCACCAGCTCTGGTGGTCTCATGACTTGTTTCCCTGTCTCCCTGCCTCTGCTCCGGCCTCTTACCACCGGGAGTTCTCCAGCTACCCGCTCTGGCCAGGCGGCGTTCCTGAACAGCTCTTTATCGCTACGGATGGCAGTGTGAGCACGGTGGGGCTTGGGCCTTCTGTGCCTGGGCATGGTGGCGCGGCCGCTGGTATCGCCTCGGCTGGTTCGGAGCTACTGGTGCTGACCTCCCGCGGTCGCCCCAAGGGCAGCCCCCCGCCGGCCTCTCTTTCCATGCGGAACTGTGGGCCCTCCAGGCTGCTGGCCTGTGGCTTGTTGCATGGGTCGACCGACTCTCGCTGCTCACCTCTTCTGCGCCTACTAGGGTCACTATTGCAGTGGATAATGCCGCTGCCCTTCAGATCGCCGCTGGGCAGGCGCAAGCCGGCGAGAACGTCACCACTGACACACGTTACGTGTGGCAAGCTGTCCAGTCCCGCCTCACAACCCGCTTTCAGCATGTGCATAGCCATGTCGGCATCATGCCAAACACGCTTGCCGACTTGGGGCACCGCGGGTGGCGGCCCTGGAAACAAACTGACCCCACTCTGCCTGCCCTCTTCCGCCAAGCTGGGCCTTGGCTATGGGCTGTTCCCCGAGCGCGGGTTCAACAAGGGCGGCCCTGTCTTCAGCTTGTCTCGGACTCCCTTCCTCCAGCGCCCCAGGCGGAAGAGCCTTATGCCCAAGAATCCCCGTCGGCTGGCCCCTCAGAAGCCCCGGTGCTGGATGAGCCTCGCCAGCCAACCACGACTTCCCCCGTCCCTCTTCGCATCGTTACGGCTAATGTCCAGACGATGCATGATTCCCGTGCCTCCTTCTTCAATCCGTCGGGACACGGTCAACGCCGCCAGGACCTGTACTCCCAGGTGGATAAGCTGAGCCTCGACATTGTTTGTCTTCAAGAGACCCGCAGCAAAGGGGGACGCTGGGACACTGCCGGTTTGCTCACCTGGAGGTCCGGGGCAGCCAAGGGCAGCTATGGCTGCGAAATTTGGGTGAGACCACATCTCACCAACCCGCCACTGCGCCTTGACGATTGGCGCATCACAAGCGCCACCCCCCGCAGCCTCATCATTGTGTGCAAACGAGCTGACTTCCCGCTGGCCATTGCGGTGGCGCACGCACCCCACGCTGACAGGCCGGCCGCGGAGATTCATCAATTTTGGTCCTTACTGCAGGCCTCGCTGTGCCAGTTACCTCGGACCCTTACACTTGTTATCGGCCTTGATGCCAATGCTGACCTCCTGTGGGCCGATGAGGACCACGCTTTCATCGGGGACGGCCTAGGGTGTGGTGAAGAAGGGGCTGGCGAGCAAGGCCTGTTCGATACCATGCAACGCTTTCGGTTGACGGCCCCAGCCTCTTTCTCTGATATTCAGGTTGGCCCGGGCTGGTCTTGGGAGCACACTGGCGGTACCCGCAAGCGTCTTGATCACATCCTGCTTCAGGCGGGTTCCTGGCAGTACCGCCGCTCCTGCCAGCTCCCTGAATTTGATATTCTGAACGGTCGGCGCGACCATATGCCCTTGCTTGTTGAATGCGAGCTTCGGGGTCGACCGGCCCCTGCCGCGCGTTTGCGCCCCCCTCCACGGGCAACTGCTTTGCAAGCTCAAACTCTTGCGGTTGATCTCTGGCAAGGACTCTCTCCATCTATTGGCGCAATCGTGAGTGTCGGCCATGAGGTCCAAGCCCTTAAGCGGCGGCACCTCCGCCTCCTGCGAGCTCTCCCCAGCCCGCCGAGGCGCCCCATCCGCCAGCCGTATATTTCTTCCTCCTCTGTCGCTGCTCTCGAGAAGGTCAGGCAGGTTCGGGAACAACTTCCCGCTTTGCGAGCCAATGTCGAGTGGCAACAGCGGCGTTTTCTTCTGCAGGTCTGGCGCCACTGCTGCGCGCGCCCCGCTGCCAGCACCGCTCGCCCCGACCCTACGGGCCTCCAGCACGCTAGGCTCTTGCTTCAAGCCTGCAACTTGCATGTGCGTGGCCTGCAGCAGAAGGCACACTATCTCGCCCGCGCTGACAAACAAGCCCACTTTCGCTCCCTCACTCTTGCAGCAGCTCGGCATTGGGAGTCTACTGGAGTCCCTCTTGAGTCCATCCGGCATCTCCGTTGGGCCTCTCGTAAGTCCCACGAAAGGCGAGCCGTCCACGCGGCTGGGGGATATGACATTGACCCGGAGCTTGAAGATCAATTTCGCGCCCAAGAAGGACCAGCAGGGTTGAGGCCGCGCAATTGTCCCAGGCGGCGGCCAGCTGGATGTCCTCGCCCTGCCTCCCTTGCTTTGAAGCGGTCCCCTCTCTGCTCCAGCTTGAGCAGCTCTGCATCCGCCAAGCTCCGGCTAAAGCCCCTGGACCGGATGGACTGCGTAACGAGCTCTGGCGGTCGCAGGGCGCCCATGCAGGCCGCTGGCTTTGGCCCCTGTGCGCCAGGATCGCCCTTCAAGGCCGAGAGCCTTTTGACTTCAAGGCCGCCATTGTATGCGCCCTTTATAAAAAAGGGCCTGCATCCCTGCCGGCAAACTATCGCTCCATTGCCCTTCTTAATGGCGTTGCCAAGCTATGGCACTCGCACCTTCGGTCGACCATAGGAGGGCACATCCTCTCTCGCTATGAGCCCATGCAGTTGGGAGGGCGCAAAGGGGTCCACACGGAGTTTGCTCTCGCCGCTTTTCGGTGCGCGTGGGACCTCTCTGTCTCAGCTGGGCGCTGTTTGGCCGTTGTCTTTGTTGACATCCAAGCCGCCTATTATGAGGCCAGTCGGGACTTGCTCTTTGACGGCTTCGCGGCAGATGCCCAGGTACCAGAGCACCATCACCTCGCAGGTCTTGTCTTGCAGCTTCAGCAACAAGGAGCTCTTGCTGCCTTGGGGGTCGCGGACGATGTTGCTGCCCTGCTCCGTGACTGTGTTGCGCTGTCCCACTGGTCCTTGTCGGGCTCCTCCAACATCTTCCTTGCCTCCCGCGGCTCTCGTCCCGGGGATGGCCTTGCTGACATCCTGTTCGGAGCGCTCTTCGCTGTTGGATTGCAGCACATACAGCGTGCCACCGCGCAGCTCGGCATTACTCACACCAGTGCTGGAGTTGAGGTTGGCCTCCCGCCCGGTGTTAAGCCCATTGGGTGGGCCGATGACCTCGCGGTCCTAGCTGACTTTGACTGCCCTGCTGATTTGCAGGCTCAGCTTCCCCAGCTCGTCCGTGTCATTTTGGAGACCCTCCGACTCCTTCGTTTCCGGGTCAATCTCGGCGCGGGGAAAACTGAAGCCTTGGTTGACATTCGAGGTGAAGGGGCTCGGGCGGCCCGTGGGGCCCTGCTGAGCGGGGACGCACTCCTGCAGGTCTCCGACTCGGGCTCCATCCGTCTCTGCCCGGAGTACAAATATTTGGGAGTTGCTCAACTGCCCCGGGATACTGGACGCAGAGACTGCGAGCTCGCGGCGCAACGGGGCTCCGCTGCGGCCTCGATGGCTCGCACCCTCCTGTGCAGCAACTGCCTCCCGTGGGAGCTCAAGCGTGCTTGGGTTGCGGGCAGAGTTCTCCCGTCGGCGTACTCCTCGCTCGCTATGTCCCTTGCGGAGTCGGGCAGAGCGACCGCGCCGCTGGCTGGCCTTTTTGAGCGCACGGCCCGCATTCTCTTGTCCTCGTGGCAAGTGGGGCACAAGCTCACTACGCCGCTCCTCCGGCTTTTTGCGGATGTCCCTCCACCCGACCTTGCGACCGTGATCAGCCAATGTCGGCTGTGTGTGCAATTGTTTTGCAAAGCGCCAGCGGCTGTCCGCGACATTGTCGATGCCGCCTGGAATCGGGCGCTCCCGTGGTGCCAAGCTCTGGTTTCGGCATGCATGTGTGTGGGTGCGTCCCTTGATCTATGGGATCCGGAGCAGCCTCCTGCTATTACGGTTCTCTTCGTGCAGAGTCACGGGCGTGCCCTGCTCCGAGCCTGCAAGTCCCTGAGCAAGTTCGGTCACCGCTATGCTGCCTGCGCCCAGCTGTGGGACGATCTTTCAGCTCGGAGAACCACACACGTGCTCGGAGCCGCTCAGTCCTATCGCTGCCCTGTCTGCCGGGACATCTTTCCGAGCCTCCATGCCGTCCGGGCTCACCTTCACCGTAAGCATGGTGTCCTTTCCGACGTCACTGCATACATGGCGGGTTCTGTGTGCCTCTGGTGTATGCAGGATTTTCACTCCTCAGACCGCCTGAAGTACCACCTGCAAACGCAGCGGCCCTGTTTGCACGGGCTTCGGGTCACTGTCGGCCCGGTGTATCAGTACGGGTCCGGCACTAAGCGCAAAGGCCGCGCGGCTCACCGGGGAGTTCCACCGCAGCGACTCTGCGGACCGTGTAATGCCACCCCGGTTCAACGGCGCGCCGCTCGTCTCGGGGTGCCAGTTACCGAGGCTGAGTTACAGGAGGAGTGGGATGCCGTTCAACGCTCGCCAGCCCTCTCGGACCTGGTTCCTGGCAATCTGCACCGTGTTGCTGCGGGGTCTGCGTCTGCTTCGGCGCCGGTGGCTGTCCTCGGTTCTCTTAGCGAGGACGCCGCCTCCTCTCCCTTGTTACAGAACCCCGTGTCATCTCTGGTTGGCTCACTCGGTACCACGCCGCTCCAGTGGTACTCGTTTGTCGAGGGCGCGGCTGCCTGCGTCGACTGGGCTCTGCCTTCGCCTTGGTGGCCAGGGCTTCTCGCCCTCGGCGGGGTCTTCCGCCTGCCTTCTTCCTGGCACCGGCTTTGGTCCATGTGGTCGGCATTGGAGCTCTTCTCGCCTTGGGAGCACCGTGCTGTTCGCCGCTTTGGGGTCCTTCGTTCGGCCTCGTCTTGTGGCTTGGGTGCCCCTGTGTCGCTGGCTGACGCCACTGCTGGCCGCCGGTCCCTGCTGGAGCTGGCCGCCGCCCTTGTCTCTTTCCGCATGGTCTGCAAGACCGTCCACCAGCGGGGCGCCATGTGGATTTCTGGGCACCCCGGGCACCTGGGGCTTGCCCTGCTCCGCCGCCTGCTTCCCGCGGCTGTCTTCTTGGACTTCTGGTCTTCTGCTGGTCGCGTCTTTCTCGCGGCCAGTTCGGCCTCCTTGGCCTCTTCTGTGCGTTCGGCCCTCGTTGGCTCTTCCGCCCCGCCCTCGCTTTCCGTGCGAGCTTTCTGGGCGTACCCTGCTGCGTGAGCCGTTCGCTCCCCGTCTGTACAGCTGCTTTGCTTTCCCTTCTTTTCGTAGTTCCTTTCGGCCGCATCCCTACAGCAGGGATGCTTTTCGGCCACTGCATGTCTGACTAGCACAGGACCTTCCTCTGGCGCGTGTGAGTGAGTGAGTTTAAGGTTCAGGGCTTAGGGTCGAGGGTTTAGGGTTTAAGGTTTAGGGCTTAGGGTCGAGGGTTTAGGGTTTAAGGTTTAGGGCTTAGGGTTTTGTGGTTTAAGGTTTAGGGTTTAGGGTTTAAGGTTCAGGGCTTAGGGTCGAGGGTTTAGGGTTTAAGGTTTAGGGCTTAGGGTTTTGTGGTTTAAGGTTTAGGGTTTAGGGTTTAAGGTTCAGGGCTTAGGGTCGAGGGTTTCGGGTTTAAGGTTCAGGGCTTAGGGTTTTGTGGTTTAAGGTTTAGGGTTTAGGGTTTAAGGTTCAGGGCTTAGGGTCGAGGGTTTAGGGTTTAAGGTTTAGGGCTTAGGGTTTTGTGGTTTAAAGTTTAGGGTTTAGGGTTTAAGGTTCAGGGCTTAGGGTCGAGGGTTTAGGGTTTAAGGTTTAGGGCTTAGGGTTTTGTGGTTTAAGGTTTAGGGTTTAGGGTTTAAGGTTCAGGGCTTAGGGTCGAGGGTTTAGGGTTTAAGGTTTAGGGCTTAGGGTTTTGTGGTTTAAGGTTTAGGGTTTAGGGTTTAAGGTTCAGGGCTTAGGGTCGAGGGTTTAGGGTTTAAGGTTTAGGGCTTAGGGTTTAGGGTTTAAGGTTTAAGGTTCAGGGCTTAGGGTTTAGGGTTTAAGGTCTAGGGCTTAGGGTTTAGGGTTCAAGGTTTAGGTCTTAGGGTTTACAGGAAGGTTCAGCGTTCAAAGGTGCACGAACAGGCCTTAACAAGTCGAACTGGGGTTTGGGGTGTATACATACACATGCATGGATGGATGGATGGATGGATGGATAGATGGATGGATGGACGGATGGATGGACACAGATATTTATATATGCATATATATATATATATGTATGTATGTATACATACATACAGACAGACATACATAAATTCATTCGTTCATTCACGACAGGTCTCTCAGTCAGCGTTGACCAATGCCTGAGCAGGAGGCATCCTACGGCCTCAGTATATACTCAAACTCCTTGCCTTTGAGCGGCAAGTCTTGCTACATACATGCATACATACAGACAGACATACATACAATACAGTTATATGCAGACCGGGCTTTCTGTTACCGATGGCATGGCATGCTCGGCTTTTACGACCAAAAAATTCCCGCCGAGTCTTGACATGATACACTCCAGCCGATGCATGGGGATTTGCTTCAGCAGGCTAATCTGTCTGTTCTTAGTAAGGAATAGGGTTCCTTTCAGGGTTCCTTTAAAGGGTCCTATAAGGGTTCTTTAAGGGTTCTTTAAGGATTCTATGAAGGGTCTTGGGGTATCTTTTGTCCCTGTCTGGTTCTTAGTAGGGAATGCGGGAATGTGTTATGAGGACTACTATTGGGGATTATATAGGGGGCTACCATAGGGATCCATTCCCCCATTCCCCACTAAGAACCAGGGAGTAATTCTCTGGGAGTCATTAGGTCATTGAAGCCTCAACCCTAAACCCTAAACCCCTAAACAGCCAAGGCACGTGAGGTCCCCAATTTTGCTTACCTAAGCTTCAGCGATTCGAGCCGCGACCACTGGCAATGAGAACTCTTATGAGACAAGCAGTTTCGTCTTCAGGATGAGGACTCCGCACAGAAGAGAAGCTCATATGGGGGCCTGAATAACTAGAGAATAGAGTCTGGGGGGTATATTCTAGAACAACCCTATCAAGGAACCACTATTCACCTGCGACATGTCTGAAAGCACTGCATGCCAGCTTGTCGGGGTGCATAAGCCGGTGGGTTCGCTTGAAGCTCCGCCAACTGCTTCTGCAAGTCCTGAAGGGCACGGCAGAGGACAGACTGACGAAGGTGCAACTGGCACAGTCTAGAGTTCAGGATTTGGGGCTTAGGGGGGCGGCTAGACTTGGGCCACGACCTCTGGTAAGTAGCCTCGAACCACCAGCTGTGGTAAATCTCGGGAAACGGCACGAACCCTGCAATCCACTGCCTCCCCAGTCCTGGAGATCAAAAGCTTTCGCCGTTCGCTGCCTCTTTGCCGCGGGGGACTCTTCTGTCTCCTCGTCCTGCACGCTACTATAGGGGCCCGAACGTTTAGGAGAGGGCTCCTGTAAGGGTCTCTTGAAGTGTCGCCTTAAGCATCCTATAAGACTATAAGGGTTCCGCTAAGGGTACTTTAAAGGCTCCTTTAAGGGTTCCTTGGACGGTACTACAAGGGTTCCTTTAAGGCTTCGATAAGGGTTTCATTCGGGCCTCAGCAGCCTCGTCGGCCGCGTCCTTCTGAGACTCAGCCTGCAAAAGCTTGCGGAAGGCTAGGTTCCTGAGTAGCCCCTTTTAAGGCTCCCTCCTTACTTGGAGGATCATGGGACTTAGTAACTAGGGTTATAAATAAGGTAACTGTACTTATGACTCCAATTAGAGTACTTATAACCTTACTTACTAGGTCCCATGATCCTTCAAGTAGAGGGGTCTATAAGGGTTCTATAAGGGGATCAAGGACTTTTCCGTAATTGACTCGGTTCCTGAGTAGCTCCTTAAGAATAAGGGTGCCCTTTCCAGTTACTGCTTGGCTTTATGATAGGGTTTAGGGTTTAGGGTTGAGGGTTTAGGGTTTAGGGTTTAGGGCTTTATGAAGGGAACCCTAAAGTAAAACGGGCAAAAGGGTACTACTCAGGAGCCAGAAGATGTTACGCCGATACGCACAAAGGCATGCCCGTGCAGCGGAGACACTGCCCCATGCCCTGAAGTTGTGAAAGTATCCCTAAACCTTAAAAACCCTAAACCCTAAACCCTAAACCCTAAACCCTAAACCCTAAACCCTTAGTCTTAAACCCCAAAACCCCAGAACCCCAAGGTTTCTGCTCTTTTGGGCCTCTTTCTATTCCACAAGAGGGCGAGAGAGCCTCGATTGAGGCAGGCCTTGGGGCTTAGGGCAACGGTTTAGGGCCTATGGGCCCAAAACCCCCAAAAATCCTAAACCCCCAAATCCCCTAAGCCCCTAAACCCTGAAACCCCAAAATCCCTAGCCCTCAACACCCATGTAGCCTGCGGAGCCTCGGGACTGGAGCTCGACTGGCTCTCTTCCGGCATGCTCGAGGGCCAAAGGTGAAGCGCACCCATGCGAGCTGACGTGGGGCTCTGGCTACGTTTCACCCGCGTCTCAAGCTTAGAGAACCGTCCTACTGGGCACATCTACTGCAGACACATCGGTAGCACGTCTCAAGTTATGGAAGTTTCGTGGCTGACATGGGGCCCACACTTGCTACATCTTCCCGAAGCCATGTGCTGACCACAGGTTCCCGGGTCTAAAAAGTTCAGCTCGAGCCCGGAATGTATCAACACCGGCAAGGCAAAACGATGGCAAGCTCGCAGCATGACATCTGCAAAATTCACACAATCCCACAAAGCGCGTGTCACAACATCCGGCTGAGACTGTACCCTTAGACTGCAGCCCTAAAACCCAAACCCTCAACCCTGAATCCCTTATAGATCCCTTAAAGGGGCCCCTATAGGAACCCTAAACCCCAAACCCTGAACCGCAAACCATAAACCCTAAGCATGCAAGGGGCCTCCACGAGGATGCCAACCAGCATGTTAAGCATCATAAAGGAGTTCAAGAGGATGTAGAAGATAAATGCCTCGGTTTTTGGGTTTGGGGTCCAGGGTTTAGGGCCTAGGGCTTAGGGCTTAGCAACGGTTTAGGGATTTAGTGTTTGGAGTTCAAGAGGATGTAGAAGATCGGGATTAGTGTTTGGACTTCAAGGGGGTCTCTTGCCAAGGCACTGCCAGCATCCATATGTTGTTCTGCGCGTGAATGATGTCCTCACTGCCAGTTCGTAGCGAGGTGGCGACTGAACGTGTCCGAAACTCCACCAAAAAACCATGAAATGTCGAACCGTAAAACAGCTCGGTTTAGGGTTTAGAGGCTTGTTTAATGTGCACTAGGGTTTAGGGTTATGGGTTGTGTAAATGAAACTGAGTCAGCTGAGCGGCTGCGCACTCCGTCACATCATCGAGGATGGTACCCATAATGAGCAGAGTGAGCATGGACTTATCCATCCCGCCGAAGTACTCGTGTATCTGAGCCGTGGTACAGCACACCATCGTTTAAACTCGAATCCTACTGCTGCCGAGAACATCCAGGTACCAATTCTCTTGACGTGCCCACCTTCCGTGGATCGTCATCTGCCCACTCCTTCATTTCCTCATCCGTTACGTGACCTGGGAGGGTTTACAGTTTAGGGCTTTTCTTGTTCAATAGCCCTGAAGACTCAAAACCATCTGTGGTGAAGTGAGGGTTCTATACTGAACCAATAATCTAAACCGTAAACCCTAAACCCCCCGAACCCAGAACCCTACCCTAAACCCCTGAAACCGTATGTAAACCCAAAGATTCTAAACCCGATATGGGAGATTGCGAAAATAGGGGTACCTTATTTGGGGGTCCTTATAATAGAGATCCTACTATTTAGGGTACTACATGAGGGTCCCCTATTTTCGGAAACCCCCATATGGGAGATTCAGCACCTTCGCCCGAATCGCTACCTGGGCGAATCCCTCGGAAGATCCCTCGAAAGCACACTGCCTTGGTGGTACTCGTTCGTGAAGAGGATGGACCAGGTGAAACTGATGATGACCTCACGGGTTTAGGTTTAGGGATTATATAGGTGTCTAGGGGTTTAGGGTCTAGGGTTTAGGGTTTAGGGCTTTAGGGTTTGGGCTTGGGGAAAAAATAAACAAGCTTCGCACCACGAAACCTTTAAGCTCCTAAGCTAAAAGAACCGCTCAGCCTCTGAACCCAAACCCTGCTGGGAGGTCCGGCCAGGAGTATGGCCGTCCAGCCAACAGCTCGAGCTGCCGCAGAGATACCTCGCGTTCGCGGGAGCCGACTCAGGGTTGAGGGTCTGACGGGGCCTTTTTATTAGGGTTCCTTTAAAGGGGTCTATAAGGGTCACTATAAGGGATCTATAAGGGATCTCTAAGGGTACTATAGTAATGTAGGAACCTGATTAAGAAACCTTGGGCCTTGATTAGGGTTCCTTGTATGAACCCTACTATATTGGGGGTTATGGTCCCAGGTTTTCTTAATCAGGTTCCTACATTATGGCGTCAGGATAAATGAAGGCATGAGGATGAGGGTATGGGGTTTAGGGTACTGGGCTTTTCTGGCATGGGGTATTGGGTTTTTGGGGTATAAGGTTTATACTGGGGTTTAGTGTAAGGCTATGGAGATAAGGCTTAGCGTTTGCGTTTTAGGATTCAAGGTTCAGGGCTTGCTGGGGTCCAGGTTTTCATAATGTAGGGGCCAAACAATTACCCGTACTATTTTGGGGGGCTCCTTACTATAACTATAGTGTACTGTATTGGGCCCCAACAACCCTACTCTAAATTATTAAGGCCCCGATACTACCTCCCTGCCCCGCCTTTGATGATCATCATCAACTGTGGAAAGGCTCTCATCAACTTCGCCATTCTGGTGATGCCTCGGCATCTGACAAGGGGCCCAGGGTGAAGGGTGAGGGAGATGCTCTTGATATCCGCCCATAAGCCCGGGCAAAAGCATAAAGTCTACCCCGAAGCCCAGACTCGGTAGTACATTATAGGAAAGTATAGGAAGTCATGGTATATTACGGTATAGTATAGTATGGCAGCGTAGATTATCGTATATTATAGGAAAAAGTATATGATAGTATATTATAGTATAGTCTTAGTAGCATAGAGTACACCATCAATCCTAAACCCCAAGCTCAAAGCAGCCTCTGCCCACGTAAGTCTCACACGAAGCAGCCGAAGCAGCCTGCCAGCTGGGTCTTTCGTCACTATAAGTTAGAAGGGGCCCCCACCCTGTAATACTGATTATAAGGGATTATACAGGATTATATTAGGGCCCTATTATATTCCTATTATACCACAATTACAGGGTGGGGGCAGCTTCTAAACTATAAGGGAGGTTTCCGAAAAAAGGGGGACCCTAATGTAGTATCCTAAAAAGTAGGATCCTTATTATAAGGACCCCCTACACTGGTAGCGGGCAGCGCGTGGAGACGAGTGGCAGTGAATGGCGAATTAGCTCGGGAATTAAACACGTCCCCTGACTTTCGGAAACTCCCACAAGGCTTCATGCAAGGCATACTAAAATCTTAACAGTGGGGTTACCGTAAGGCTTACAATAAGGGATTACGATAAGGGTTACTGCAAGGCTCACCGTGAGGCTTACTATAAGTGTCTCAAAAATGGTTACTATAGTGGTTACTGTAAATGGGGGGTTAAAAACAAAGGGTTACTGTAAGGAATACTACAAGTGCCGGCTACAATAAGGGTTACTATGCTGTTTGTGTGGGTTGCGGTAAGGGTTACTAACAACAACAAGGATTTCTATCAATGCCGGTTACTAGAAGGGTTATTATTGACAAAGCCCGTCGTGCACATCTTAGGCTTCCAAGGCTTTCATTGTATTCCCTTCCTCCATGTCACATAACCTGAAGTCCCAAAAACCCTACTAAAGCCCACACATGTCACACAACCTGAAGTACCAAAAACCCTGTTCAGGCCCTCTTCTAGTCATTAGGCGCAACATCTAACCCCATAGCATCCCTTACAGGTGCCCAATAAAACCCCCATTCTACTGGAGGCCTCGCCCTGAACATCTGAACCCCTAAACCCCCAAAACTAAACCTTAGAAGCTGCCCCCACCCTGTAATAGTGACTATAAGGATTATAGTAGGGCCCTATTATATTCCTATTATACCACTATTACAGGGTGGTGGCCCCTTCTAAACTAAGCTCCACCCTTTCTCCGCCTGAGGATGCTGAGCTGGCCCAGGCCGGAGTCTAGCCCAACGAAGGGCATGATCCAGGTCTCCCAGACCTGCAAGGATCGCCAACATGCGCAGACTCACTCGATATCGATGCCGATATCGATATACATGTGCAAGAGTTTTGCCATAATTATGCATATATATATATATATATATATGTAACATACATACATATCGTATAATATCATTCAGTATAGACAAAGAAACTGCGAGCACATCGACAACCATACTACGTGAACAGCCAGTCTGGGCAGCGGGCCATCATCAAAACCAAAAGCAAGTCGAAAACGAACCAGCCGTCACGAAGACAGTGGCATTTTTGGCGATACCTCCACAGGAACGAATACTGTAGAGGCCATAATAATTAGACTAGGGTTTTGGGGCCCATGATACTGTCATCAGAATAAGGATCCCCTAAAACGGTAAAGTCAACTATTTAGGCCCCTATATTATCATCCCGGGTGCTCCGGGCTGGCTAAGATCTGAAGGATTTGCTCTGAGCAAGCGCACGCCAGGAACCGGATGAGGATCTCAAAGGTAAAGTAGGAAGCAAAAAAGACCTCAAGCACGATGAAGAAGACCTTCGCCCGGTACGGTCATTCAGAGGGCAGAAGGAGGTTTAGGGATTTTGTTGAGGACCTTTCTCCATCTGCAGTACAGCTGGAGAACTCCAATGGAGCAGGCATCTTACTAACCCTTCAGCAGGGTTTTCCGATTGAGGCTTCAGCACAACTGTGGGTTATGGTCTTGCCGCTAGTGTGTTGTGTGAACACTTGTTCGTGGGTCTCCGGAGAGGGCTTGCAGCGTTCTGAAACTGAGGCTGCTGCATCCCCCTCGTAGAGGTTGGCTGGCACTTCATTCCTGGAAAAGCAGAAGCGCGAAATCGGGAAACCCCTACTGTAGAATCTAAACCCTGCACCCAAAACATACATACTTTAAAACCCGCGACCCTAGGACCCTATATAACACTGCGATAATGCACCAAACACCCTCTTGCCTCGCCGAGAAGTCTGCATCCACTCCGATGGCAAGTGCGTTCAGGAAGATCACGGCTAGGCGCAGCTCAGGCTTTCGGGGCTTTTGGGGCTTTTGGGGTTTTAGGGTTTGGGGTTTAGGGTTTAGGGGTCTAGAGGTTAGGGCTCAGGGTTTAGTATTCGGTGGGCACCTCAAGACCTTGGGTGCGTTGGTGGTTAGGACATGAGCCTCAAAAACCATAAGGTGGGAAGCCCAGTGTACGAATATAGCATCGCTGCATGCTTTCGCGATATGGAGGCATCGACATGTGTGGTTCGACAGTTGAAGCGCTGCGAATCTGACTTCCCAGATCAGCCAAGGCTCAAATTGTGATGCCCTCGAAATACTTGTTCTTGGCGATCTTGCCGAAGAAACTCAGTCCCAAAAGGCTTGCTTTCAGAGTTTAGAACTTAGGGCTCAGTGAATCAAGCTCTAATTCCCAAACTCACCGCCAGACGCAGCAAGCCTGTCAGTCTCCGAACCCTCAAAGGCAGGCGCTTGTCAGAGAACTTCTTCTGCAAGGCCACCGTATTGGTGCCGACCTTCCACGCTTTCCCTTCGGAATCTTTGAACCCCAGCGACTCCCAAACCCCTTAAGGAATATACCCTTTGAGGCTTCCTTTAAGGGATCCTTGAAGGGTTCTATAAGGGAAGTCATTAAGGAATATACCTCAGATTAGATCATATATGGGATCCTACTATAACTTAATGTATTTTCCTTGTTCAATTAAGGGGTTTTGGAAGATCTGGGAAGCCAAAAACCTGAAAGCATCGGAAGCCGGTCCTCCGGCTTTCCACCTTTTGCCACCTCCTCCTTGAGGTTGTGGATGTCTCCAAACATTCGCCTCAGAGAAACAGCGTAGCTCCTTAATAATAAGGGTAGCCGTTCTCCTACTATTCGGCTTGTTTTAAGGGCACTGAACCCTGAACCCAAAACAGTAAACCCTAAACCCGCTCGTGAGTTGTGCAAGGCTATTTGCGATTCCATGTAGTCAAACACAACCGGGAGCAGTCCCTGCGGCCTCAAAACAAAACCAGAGCTTCCGAACCTCTGCTGCAACTGGAAAACCTGAAACCACAGAGAGTCCTAGGGTTTACGAGTTCGGTGTTTATATGGTTTCTTTAATATGGGAACTGAAATCAAATCCCTTAACAAGAACCCAGTTTAGGATTTAAGATTCTCGGGTCTTAAAGTTCAGCCACGGCACCCGGCAGTAACGGGGGGAACATTCGGCACGGCCGGCCCCTTCGCGGCGCTGGAGTCGCTTGCATCATAGATCTTGCGGACTGTCTCTGGCTGGCCTGCACTGCATCCAAGGAAGCTCTTGAAGTTTACAGATAGAGACAAGCACTGTAGTATGATTGCTATATTATGAATATTACATATACTTTTGCTATAGCGGCTTAGAGTTTGGGAGTTAAGGTCATTTTGGGTCTGGAGCTTGTGGCCTGGACAGCTGCGAATGCATCCCGAAGCCCAAACCGGCACCTTTGGTGCCATGCAGCTCACGACTCAAGTAACCAACTCTCCGTAGCTCTAAACCCAAAACCCACAAACACATAAATCCTCAACCCTGAACTCAGAACCCTAAATCCTGAACCCCACCCTGGAAACCCTTGAACCAATAAACCCCAAAACTCCTACTATAGGCGCCTGAATAATTAAAATAGGGTTGGAGCCCAGTATACAATGATTACAGTAAGGAGCCCCCCCCCCCCCAACAGCATAGGTAATCCAGGCCCCTAACCCTAAACCCCTGAACCCTAAACCCCAAACTCCGTCTCCTTAACCCAAAAAGCCGAAACCCTGAACCCCTGAACCGATAAACCCCAAAAGCCCTAACCCTAACCCCCTTAAAGCTCCCCCGAAGCTCAGAGAACTGCAGTGAACCCGAGCCGGCCTACGTTCTGAACTGCTCTGCCTTGGCTTGGGTCTACTTGGAGGATCATGGGACTTAGTAACTAGGGTTATAAATAAGGTAAGTATACTAATAACTCCAATTAGGGTACTTATAACCTTACTTACTAAGTCCCATGATCCTCCAAGTAGGGAGTTGGCCTTTAGGGCTTCAGGCTAGGCCTTCAGGGTCTTAGGGCTTTTGTTTGAAGGGTCTTCGGGCCTTCAGGGTCTTAGGGCTTTTTGTTTGAAGGGTCTTCGGGCTTCAGGCTAGGCCTTCAGGGTCTTAGGGCTTTTTGTTTGAAGGGTCTTCGGGCTTTAGGGGCTAGGCCTTCAGGGTCTTAGGGCTTTTTTTTGAAGGGTCTTCGGGCTTCAGGCTAGGCCTTCAGGGTCTTAGGGCTTTTTGTTTGAAGGGTCTTCGGGCTTTAGGGGCTAGGCCTTCAGGGTCTTAGGGCTTTTTGTTTGAAGGGTCTTCGGGCTTCAGGCTAGGCCTTCAGGGTCTTAGGGCTTTTTGTTTGAAGGGTCTTCGGGCTTTAGGGGCTAGGCCTTCAGGGTCTTAGGGCTTTTTTTTGAAGGGTCTTCGGGTTTTAGGGGTTAGGGCTTCAGGGTTTTAGGGTTTAGGGAGCAGGGTTTAGGGCTTCAGTGTTTTAGGGTTGCGCTTTTCGATTGAGGCTTAGGGTTTAGATGCCTTCATGAAAGGAGCGGACTGGGTTTTGTGGGTAGCCAAAGCAGTTCACAGTTCTGGCTGTGGCTGTCACTTGGCATGCAATGCGAAAAGCACCCATCCCTTCAAAAACCTCCCCTCTTTAGGACCTAAACCTCTAGGAATCCTTGCAGCCCTCCTAGGAAGCCTCATTCGAAAGTCAGGAACCGACACCCCTAAACCCTAAACCCTGAAACCTACCAGGACGCCCAATACCCCTCTAATAAGAGCCCTAAACATTCGAACCCTACGGCCCTAAAAGCGGCTTGCAGCCCTTAGACGCTGCAGCTCCCTCTCCAGAGCAGTTTCCACCGCATCGACCTTTTGCCGAGGCAAAGGTTACTTGGAGGGTCGGGGGACTTAGTAAGTAGGTAGTAAGTAGACTTATAAGTACCCTAAAAGGGACCCTACTTGGGGTTATGGTACTTATAAGTCCCTAAAATAACCAGTTACTAAGTCCCCTAAAGACCCCCCAAGTAGGGGCTTTTGAGGGCCTTTTGGGTTTCAGGTTTCCTGATGGGGGTTTGGGGTGTAGAGTTCAGGGTTTAGCGTGTCGAGTTTGTGGTTTAGGTTTAGGATGTAGGGTGCAGAGTTTAGGGTTCAGGGCTTAGGGTGTAGAGCTTGCGATTAGGGTTCTAGGTTGTTCTGAAAACGGGGTGTAGAGTTTGGGATCAGGGGTCGAGGCTGTTCTGAGGGGTCTGAAAAAGGGACCCAATCATTCGGAACAGGGTGCTGGGAACGGAACTCTACTTCTGAGAGTCTCAGCAAAGGCCCTGATGTTTGGAAGAGAGTTTCGGGGTCTCACTCTGCCACAAACATTTTCGGATGCCGGGGGCGTCGGCCGAGCTCCGCACCTGAGCAGGCATTTCGCCATTTACCGGCCCACGTCTGGATCCATGCTCGGCCGCAGCAGATGGCGTAAGAACATCCTCTACGTGTCTTGGATGTGAACTGCTTGGTTTCAGGTGATATTCCTTTTTACAATCCTAGTACCATGGGCCCCAAAACCCTAATCTAACTATTAAGGCCCCTATATTAAGAGGAGAACCCGAATTACTTTGACTCGACGTCGGGTCTGTCTTGAGCTGCCTCGAAAGGCCACTGCTTTGGCTATGCACACGTCGCTAAGCTGAGATTGACACACTGCGTTTGGCTTATGTCACAGCTGGAGCCATGGAATGCGCAGACGATGCGATGCGGAGTATCACCATGGCATGGGCTGTTGCAGCCTTGACAAGTTAAGTCTTGTCTAACAGCATTTTGACACGAGAGCTCTTGACGATGACTGCAGGAAAATGCAGCAGTGGAAACTGTCAGTTGGACTCTGTTTCCATGCAGCATCGTGCGGCAGTCTGCAATTGGCAGAGCTGCGAAAACAGGGTGCGGGCTGACGCACACGGCATGTCACACCATGCGGTGCAAGCACCGAAAAACTGTGAAACATAACATAAGGTTTGGGGCAGGTGGCATCTTAGAATCATACCGAAACACTTGACCTGTCTCTGCGGTAGACGTCGTCCTCTCGACGGCAGCAGCGAGAGTCTGACATGCCAACTGCCCTCGAGTAACTTGGCGGCGACATGGGAGTTTCCGAAAACAGGAGACCCTAGTTTAGTACCCTAAATAGTAAGACCCTTATTATAAAGACCCCAAAATCAAATACCCCAAATTTTCGGAAACTCCCAGATCATGAGCACACGCTCAAGACGAGCTCAAAGTCTGAACTGCTCAGTCGTCTTTGATCTGCGCCCGGCCCATCATCACTTTAAATCTTGCCAGGGAGCCAACCAGAAGTAGGATGCACACCTCAAGGCTCCAACTGCGAGCGCACAGTCTGCAATGTCAAGCCTCTTGCAACTTTGAAGCATAAGATACTACTCTATAACTATATACTAGAGTATACGTACTACAAAATTATAGTCTACAACATTCTACAATATTGTCATCGGCTTGTCGGCGTACCTCACTCGACCTCTACACTAAAGACGGCAATCGTTCGCGAACATCACCCCTGTGAAAAAGGCTTCCTGCCACAAATGCAAGGAATCACTCCGACCTCCTCCGGACTACCAGACAGTCTGATGTCCAACCCCCAGTTGCGTCAGATCATCATAATAACAATGATAACAAATAACAATAACAAAAGTAATAATCATCAGGATCATGTGAGGCCATCGCAACAGAGGCACCGGTACAGTGAGCAGGGTTCCGACAGTGCCCGTCAACCTTGGCAAAGCTCCGCGTGATCGCGAAAAGAAGAGTTATACTCTAACATTCTACGATGATACATTCTAATCTGTTATACTCTATCATGATATCTTATAATATGATATCTTATAATATATATATATATATCTATATACATATATATCAATTATTGTAATATATCATGATAGAGTAGAACAGATTAGAATATTTACAATACCGTACTTCGGAACTCGGATGCCGAGAAGCAGAAGCAGCCAGGCACCGTCGAGAAACCTGGGCTGACTCCGAGCTGAGGTGCCTCACTTGTATATGGGAGTTTCCGAAAATAGGGGTACCCTAATATGGTACCCTAAATAGTAGGATCCTTGTTACAAGGACCCCAAATTACTGTAAGGTACCCCTAATTTTCGGAAACTCCCATATAGAGGTCGTAATGAAAATTCCAACTGGGCCTGGTGGTACATTATACCGCCATTATTATAATGACATGTGTGTATATATATATATATATATATATATATGTATATTAACATATATATATATATTCATTTACATACTGTCGTAAATTATACTGCTATTATATTATATATATATAAATAAACTGTGACGGTCACTCATTCTCTCGACCCTTGAGCAGAGCACCTCACTACCGAGAACCATCCCAGGCTCCAGATGATAGGCCTATCACTTACCTTTGAATAGTAGGGAATGGAGGAACGGAGTCTATAAGGGTTATTATAAGGGTACTATAATATAGGGGCCTTAATATTCCTATAACTTACCTTTGGTTAGCAGGGAATGGAGGAATGGGGTACAATGATAACTACTATTACTACCATATTACTACCATACTACTACCATATTACTATCATATTACTATCATGTTACTACCAGATTACTACTAATACTACCATTCTTCCATTCCCTACTAACCAAAGGTAAGATCACGGGGCTTAAGGGAGAGGATCTGCGCTGCATCGAATGAGTCGGCAAGGGACGGGTCTGTGCAATTTTGCAGGGTGAAACCTACGATGTAGGGCCTTTAGGCTTTAGGGTGTGGGGCTAGCAAATGACTTGTGGTATCCACATCCTGCAGGTCTTGTAGCTCATGGTGCTTCCGCGGATGTTCACCGAACATGCGCGGCCTGGCGCAGTAGTTAATGCTGTATGCAAGAAGTGCACAGCTTTGGCAAGAACAGAACAAGCAGAGATCAGCAGCCGAGGCACCAGAGACGTTTCATCATTACGATGCTGTAGAGAAGGAGGGGCCTCAGTTGACTCCGCATCGAACTCTTCAGGTTCAGCTGCTTGAAAGTAGTTTGCAGACTTCACAACTAACACAGAGTCTTGGGGTAGAGTCGCTATGGCATACTATACTTAACATAAGGAACCCTGAGGAATGGTACTGGTAATCATTTCGACCCTGACTCATAACCTTGTAGCATTCCGTATTCTCAGCCTTACAGAACCCTTGAAGGAAGCCCAATTACATTGCTTGGAGGATCATGGGACTTAGTAAGTAAGGTTATAAATATAGCTACCTGATTTATACAGTATGGTACGCCATTTATAACCCTAGTTACTAAGTCCCATGATCCTCCAAGTACTTGGCAGGCCACCCGCGCACGGCCACGGCAATGACAGTGTCCAGTGTACCGACCAGCCTCAAGAGGCAATCTTGGGCTTCTGCCGTCTCCTTACCCTTAAACCCTTAAACCGAAACCCTAATACCCTAATAATCGCAATAATCGCGAAACCCTAAAGACCACCCTAAAGCCTAAAGCCTAAAGCCGAAAAAGCCTAAAAACTCTGAAAGCTTAAAACCCTAGGCACCCAAGAAAACCCGAACGACTCCCACAAACCGTCCGAAGCCCCGAAAAGAGAGGCAAGCGAGAAGCCAGAGCAGCGGCAGATGAGGAAGGTACGAGTCGTCCTAGTCCATGGTTGGGATGAACTAAGAATCTAACTGTCTAGTCCTTCTTGGGTTTAAGTACCCTAAACCCTAAACCCAAAAAATGTAAAATCTTACCCAACCATGACCAGAGCGTCGATGGTCCAAGCCACTGGGCTCAGGAAGTTTGCTGCAAAGCCCGAGAGATGCATCCCAAAAACCATCCTCCGGCGGCTTTAGGGCTTAGGGTCCTTAGGGGGCATTTACGGTTGAGGGTTGAGGGTTGAGGGTTTAGGGTCCTTAGGGCTTTTGGGGTTTAGGGTTTGGGGTGCTTTCGGGTTTAGGGTTAAAGGTCCTTAGGTCTTTTAGGGTTTAGGGTTGAGGGTCTAGGGTTTAGGGTCCTTGGGGCTTTTAGGGTTTAGGGTTCAGGGTCCTTAGGGCTTCTCATGATCCTCCAAGTATTCTTCCCAGAGAGCCCAATAACCCCTTAATTAAGGAATATACCTTTAAATAATAAGGGGATTCTTATTATGATTTCAACTATATTCCCTTAAGTGTGGGGGGGCTCTCTGGTTGCGGTCAGGTTGCAGCACGTAAGCATACTCAGTCGAATAGTGCAGATTCATCGGGACGCAGTTCACGATGCTGACTGCATGGAGACCAACCTTCACAGAGACTCCAAAACCCCTGAATTAGGAACATATCTTAAATCATAATGGGCCTAATATGACTTACGGTATATTCCCTAATTATAAGGGGCTTTAGAGGCTCTGGGTTCGCAAGAAAGGCTCTTCAACCTCCTCTTGCTCTGCAAAGCATCCGGGTTCTCCATAAGCTTGCCACTCTAACCAGAGTTCCTGTAAGGACTACATACGGATTATTCCAAGGGGTCGTATACTCCCATAAGGGATACGGGTTATTATGGGAGTTTCGGATCTAGGGGACCCTGATATAGTACCCTAAATAGTAGGATCCTTATTATAAGGACCCCAAAGTAAGGTACCCCCTATTTCGGAAACTCCAAACCCCTATAGGACCCCTTCAAAGGAACCCCTATAGTACCCTTGTAGTAACCTTTTTGAGGAACCTTAAGGTACCCCTGTTTTCGGAACCTCCCTTATGCTTCTAGAAAGGAGCCGAAGACTGCGGCCGAGCAGCGAGGTAGGCGAGCAGAGAAAGGGGCATGTGCTTTGGCCCGTCCTGCAACAACCCTCGTAGTAAGGGATCCTTAAAGGGTTCCTTAAAGGGATGGGTCTAAGCTTGATGATATAAATCCTGCACTACCCATAATAAGGTACTTCCCATAGTTTAGGGTTCTTAAGGTAATGCAGGATTTATATCATCAACAGTAGTACGTTTCGAACGGGTTTAGGGTCTAAGGTTGTTTGTAGTAACCCTGGTAGGAACCTTCTCGCAACACCTAGAGTACCCGTCAAGGAACTGTATGGTAGCCCGTGTCGAAACCTGATAGACTTAGATGTTAAAGCAACCCTAAGAGTACCTATTGGGGTTCAGGGGCCCAGAGAGGCCAATGCCCCTTAATTAAGGAATATGGCTTAAATCATAATATGAATCCCCTTATTATTTAAGGTAGATTCCTTAATTAAGGCATACCAAATCTGTAGTACCCACCTGCGACTCGCCACATTTCAGGACCAATCGTCTCCCTGGAAAACAACTTGGAAGGGCAGGGGACTTAGTAAGTAGGTTATAAGTGAGTTATAATTGGGGAAACTCTATTTAGGGTACTTATAACTCTACTTATAA